TAATCACTTGCCCCCTCATATGAGAAGAACCAGGCAGCATGACTTGTCCAAAATCAAAACAGTAATGATCTTTTTAAGAGCTTAACATACAAGCAATGTTATCCTCTAGAAACCTGTGTTAATTCTAAGCACTTCAAAAGGTAATATAAACGAACTCATTCACTCAACAAATCTGAGCACCTTCTGTATGCCAGGCACTTTTTTACTATATCCCTACTATTCTATAAACTTTAACACAGACATTTAATGTCACCAGAAGCCTCAAAAATCAAAACACTAAAACCAAAATTTAAATCTTTCATGTTTTATTTCTAGTAAGTCTTACTGACATCCACAGACAATGTTTTCTTATGGCATCTTTTTAGTTACATATTTAGAATGTATACCAACTTTACTTATTAAAGGAGGACCAACAAATCATTGATAATTTTAGATGAATAAGAAAGGCATTTTGTACTGGGAACTTATTATAACAAAGGTCTTCTTACATGACTGAAAATTTCATCAGCCAGACCTCAAAAATACAGGTGACCCTCAAAAACTATAGGTCTACTTATAGATGGATTTTTTTTTTCAGTAAAGACCTGTACTGTTTTCCATCCACGGTTGGGAGGCCACAGATGCAAAGGGCCAACAGCATACATTAATCTATGCCATTTTATAGAGGCTCTTGAGCATCCAAGGATTTTGGTATTCGCGGGAGTCCTGGAACGAATCCCCCGCAGACAGCAAGGGACAACCTAATTTTTGGGGTAGTCAAAAGTTACATGCAGATATTTGACTGAGTGGGGGTCAGCGCCACTTAACCTCCACGTTGTCCAAGGGTCAACAGTAGTGCTTTCTCTCTGTATTCATTCATCAAGTATACACCACCACGAAGCAGTCCTACTTTTCAGGCCAACACACATTCCTCAAGACTGGCAGAGAGAATTTGGAAAATCCTAACTACCTATACTATCCAGAAAAAGAGTTAATTTGTGAATGAACTGTCATTTGGCATCTGTCGAAAGCCTGAATGAGACAACTGATATTTCAGGGACACTATCTGAAAGATAAATGAACTAAACTCTACTAAATCAAATCACCAGAACAATGTACACCTATATTATTAAAGCTTTTCTATTATGCCTGAAGCTTTTATCTGCTTTCTCTACAATGGCATGTGAAAAATGTTTCTCTATCATCTGTAAAATGTAAAACATTTTCTCCATATATTGTTAATGTCATTTCATGTAAGAATTCAAATTACTTATTCTTTAGACAAAAGTCTGCTTCTCCTGATTAACTGGTATACGTGTTCCCATTAATCAATGCCAACTATGATTTGTACAGTTTCCTCTTTTGCTTTGACCAATAAATTAAAAAAGAAACAAAACCTTTAGTTACATGCAGATGGCTGAGCTATCCTTCTCCTAAGTTTTTCATCTAATTCCCTCCAGCCCCCTCCACTCAAGCTTTACCATTTTCACAGTCCTTTCAAACACCTATTATTACAAGACCATGTCAAATCCTTTCTCAAAGTTGACAAATAATAAAACATATACATCCAATGGGCTTTTAGAATGAGCTAAACTCTTGAACGTCCAAAAAGCAGAGCACAAGGTAAACAAGATAAATCACCTGGCTCCACTGCTATTTCCACAAGTAAAACACAGACCTTACCAGTATCTTCCTCCAAGCACCCAAAAGACCACACCCAATATAGCTCCATGATGGGTCAACTGAAGGAATTCAGCTTTTTGCATATCCACTTGCCAGACACTAATAAGAACTCATAAAAATGAGACAATCCTGGGCCTCAAGGAGATTAAAGTCCTGTATTGCCATAGAGGGAGCTGTTTGTAGGATAGTATATTTAACTATCTGGAACAGCCCTGAGAAAACTCATCTTGCGATAAAATCTGAGTCTAGTGCTCTGATGATCAAGAAATAATCTGACCACTTCTGGCCATATACCCAAAAGAAGTGAAAGCAGAGACTCAAACAGGTATTTGTACACTTATATTCACAGCAGCATTATTCACAAAGCCAAAGGTAGAAGCAACCCAGGTGTCTACCTATGAATGACCGGATAAATAAAATGTGGCGTATACCTATGCAATGAACTATTCTTCAGCCTTAAAAAGGAAGGAAATCCTGACACATGCTACTGCGTAAATAAACCCTGAATGAATGATCCCTGAAGATGATAAGTACCCAGTCGCAAAAGGACAAATACTATATAATACCACGTATGTGCGGTTCCAAGAGTAGTCTGATTCATAGAAAGAAAAAGTAGAATGCTGGTTGCGTGAGGCTGGGAGGAGGGTGAAATGGGAGGTTGTGTTTAATGGATACAGAGCTTCAGTAAAGGAAGATGAAAACGTTCTGGAGATGGATGATGGCGATGGTTGCAAAACGACGTGTGTACTTAATATCACAAAACTGTATGCTTAAGAATGGTTAAAATAATAAATTTTGTTATGTATAGTTTACCACAAAAAAGGGGAAAAAATCAAATATTCAGACAGAGATCACCTGAACATCTAAGGTTAGACAATTTCATTTATTCAACAAGTGTTAACTAAGGACTTAATTACAGGTTATATAGGTTTTGCCCCAAAAATCCACTTGGGAACAGCAATGCAACGCAACGGAAAGAGCACACATGCAAGGACTCTGAAATGCAACCATGACAATCCTGGCTCTGCCATTTGTAGACTAATAACTTGAGGCAATTATCTCTGAGTCTTAGCTTCCTTGGGTGTAAAACAAGGACAATATCTCAGGGTCACAGTGAGGATTAAAAGAGAATGCATATAAAAGCAACAGGAACATCTTGGCACATAAGGAGGCACCTCTTATTAATAAATGCTCCCCTTCTCTCTTTTGCCACAAGTAATGACCACAGACAGGATGTTAAGGTCACAAGTGAGAGAATGTGAAATATCTACTTTCTCAAATGAAACACGCATCTCACATGTCAGACGGTGGCAGGCAATAAATGTCTCAATGCCATAAAAGTCATCCTTCCTAGAAGGTGGCACTACACTAAAACTACTACCCACTATATAGCACCACAAAATCACTATCAAATAAGATCATGAGCCACATCAAAATGAAACGTCTTCTAAAACCAAGACAATAAAATTCAGCAATGGCAAAACAACCTCACTATACAATTTATACACAGAGCCACAAGCATTATACACAAGACAGAACTTAATTAACCTTTAATGATGAGATAGTAGTATTAAAAAGTAGAGCAAGCCCTTACTAAAATAATTGCAGGAAAATAAAGACTGTTCTCCCCAAATTAAATTTAACTAATATTGGGTTGTCGGAAAAGTCATAATGTATTTTTTCTGTTTTTCATTGCAAAAATGCGTCATGAATTTTTCAACAACCCAATACATCTTTTCTTAAAATGGTATTTTGATGCCATGAATAAATCTGTAAACCAACATTACCATTTAAGTATGTACAGTGACATATTAAAAGTAATCTTTAGTGTTTCTAATCTATAGACAGAGTAAGTTTTATAAAATATGGCCTAAGATGAAGTTTTGAAAATAACTGTGTGTGTGTATAGATATAGCATATATAACATATAATATACATGTGCCACAGGTAGCTGTTTTAAAGACAACACTTGGCAAAATAAACTGATTATTCCAGAACCTAGTTCCTAAAGATATTAGTGAATACTAAAATTATTATTCACTAGTGGCCTCATCGAGAATTCTGTACCATCATCCATTCTGGAGCAAATTATTGGAGCTCTTGGCAAGACACGGTTTTTCATTTAGAAAATTTAATGTTTATACCAACAGTTTTCAATTTAGTTAAGCTTTTATTAAAGCACATTTAAAAATACGTATTTTTTCCAAGTCACTTAACTCCTTATTTCTGTCCTTTTCCAGTCACTGAGTTGCTGCACTTGAAAACTAAAGCAACACGAAGACAACTGAAACTCAGAACTGGAAAAATTCAGAAAATTCAAAGCACCTCAAAAAGCACAGGCTTTAAAGTAATACTCTTTAATTAGGCGAATGTTTTTAAACCGCGCTAGTCATAAGAACACTTAGACTTATACGGATCAGTAACGCGTCCCTTTTAAGCACGACGTTCTTCACAAAAGCACCGACTGAATACTATGGAGCAGGCGCTCCCCACTCATCTCTGTTTTTGCAAATCTTCAGGCTATTAAAGATACACTAAATGGTGTGTTAGCTCTGTACTGCAGGCAAAGCCATCCGGGCAGCTCAGCTTTTCCAGATAATCTACATAAATCTGATGTGCTAACTTAAAACATACACTGATTTCCCAAAGATCAAAAACGCTTAAGAAAAAAACCCTTTGCAGGGTCCAGACGTTCTGGCACAAAAACATCGGAGGGAAGGGGTGGAAAGATGGCTTCGGCCACCCGCCCCCTGGGACCCAGACCTGGTCACCTGCCAATAAACACGAACAATCCTCCCAGTCCTCCCCGGGCTGGCCCCGAAGGCTCGCGCTTTCCTGCCGGCACCGGCAGCCCGGCTTCCTCCGCTCCCGGCTCTTTCGAAGGGGTCCACTGAGGCCCAGCGCAGTGACCCCCCACCACCGCAGGTCCCCAGGATGCTCCCGAGGCGCCGCTGCTGATTCCGCACCACTCCGTGCGCTTAACCAGACCTGTCAAACCCCTGGGGCAGGACCGAGCGGTGGGGACGCGCTCCCCTCCGCGTGTGGAGGCGGCCGCGTCCCCATCCAGTGCGGGAGCGACCGCACAAAGTCCCTCCAAAGCGGCGAATCGGGAGGGGCGCCAGGGTCCAGGGAGGCGCACAGCCCCGCAGGCCGCGCCGCCCGGGACCAGGCGAGGCCGCGCCATCTGCTCGCGCCGTCTGCCCCCCCCGCGGGCCAGGCCGGAACGCGGGCCCAGGGCCGGGACGCCCACGCGGGCCCGAGTACGGAGGTGGGCGCGGGGCCGGGTGGAGCCGCTCCCCGCCCCGGACACAAAGCGGCTCTGCGGAAGCCCGCCTCACCTGCAGGACGGGGCGCCGCGGGCCTTCGAGAACCATCGGACCCCGTTCCGGCGCGCGCGTCACAGCCCAGGCCTCCCGGTGCCGCCCGGCGCCGCCGCCGCCGCCGCCATTTCCTCCCGCTCGCCGTCGCCTCGTCCCCGCTGTCAGGTTACTCCATTCACCTGGGCCTAGAGCAGCCTGCGCCGCGCCGCGCCTCCGCCTCGACCCCTCCCGCCGGCGCCTGCGGAGACTGCGCAGCGCCCGGCTCGCCCGCAGCCCTCGCACGGCCCGCGGCAACGGCGCACCGCGGCTTGCAGAATCCCACCGGCGCCCGCGCCGCCCCCTCCGCGCCCCCACTCTCCGCTCGTCCCGCACCGGCATGAGAGGGAGCCTGTGATTGGACAGAGCGCGGCGGTGAAAGGTTAATCCCGGCCCCCTAGCCACTCAGGAGCCAGGAGACAGCGGACGCGGCGGCGCAGGCCAAGGCGGTGTTTGCGGCCCAGCTCTTGGACGGGATCCCGGCGTTCGACCGCCGCGGCCCCGCGCCTCGGCGACCCTCGCGGCCCCGCGCGCCGAGGCCCCGCGCGCCGAGGCTGCGGACGCTCGCTTAACTTGGCAGAACCTCCCGGCTCTTGGAATTTGCCCGCCTCCATTGTTGCCCTCTCTGGCACCCACCGCCCTCTAAACGTGGCCCTACCCCACGGCCGTAATTGTTCTCTGGAGGGCTCAGCGTCCGTTTTCCACTTCCCTCCCATGTTTAAAGGACCTTCCCACTCGCCTGCTTTTGCTCCGCATCAGTGGTGCAGGGCCCAGCGCATGTGGGGAGACCACGGACCCCACCTCCTTCCGCACACCCGGAACTGGGACCACCAGATACTGGGATGGGGGACAGGGGCTCCACTTATGTAAATTGGTCATTTGCATAGATTGCAACCTTGTACCGTACCTTGTAGCGGTGAATTAAAAATATGGAGGCCAAGTAAGTGGCTGGCTTAAAGAAAACCCTATTAATTTATGCCAAAATGTAGACATCTCTTCTAAAGGACCCACCGGACAGGTTTATTCCAGAGGAGGTATGACAATAGCAACCATGCTTCTGCTCTCAAGAGTTAGCTCTCAGCACCTACTACGCGCTAGACACTGTCTAGGGCTGCGCTGTTCAACACAGCGGCCACCAGCCCTGTGTAGCTATTGAGCCCTTAAAATATGGCCCTTCTCAATTGAGATGTGCTAGTCGACCGCAGATGTAGGTCTTCTTTACCAGAAAAGAATGTAAAACATCTACTAATTTATTGGTTGCATGTTGAAGTGGTAATATTTTTGATATATTGGAGTAAATATTAGTTTCATTTGTTTCTTTTTATTTTTTTAAATGTGAGTGCTGGATGAATTTTAATGTTTCATGTGGTTTGCATTATATTACTATTGGACAGGCTGGTGTAAGTAAGCTTGTGATCTTTATGTGGACCCCTGTGAGGTAGGTGCTGTAATTGCTACCCCCAACACACACACACTATTAAAACGAAAAATAACCTCCAGCGAGTAAACTTCTAATAAATGAACAACTGAGATTTGAATCCAGGTATTCTGTTTTTGAAGCTGGTGTGCTCAGTCACTACTGCGCTCAAATTTTGATCATATGTTTACTGTAAACTGGCTTGAGGGTTTCCCTTAAACATGGAATACTCATGGGTAAAATGAGGAAATAGAATGCTCTTGGCAGACTTCCATTAAAAAAAATGTTTCTTATATTGCAAGCACAGTGGGCAATAGACCTCCCCAGTAATATAGGGAAAGGCTTTGGGGAGATAATCCTTTATGAGAGGCTAGCATCTCAGGATGGGAACAGGTCCTGGGGTCCGCTAGCAGTGGGAATTTGTGGGCCGGTAACACTTTCAGCCCCTCCTGCTGTCCTCCCAATCTGTCAAAACTAGCTGGGCTTCTCCATCCACAGGTTTGTCTGATTTTCATCAATTTGAGCTTATGTTTTTAAAATAAGAAATATATATACATATATATGGTGCATTATATATATATATATTTATTTTTAGAAAGTAGGCATTAAAAGGTATACAGTAAAAATTCTCTCTCCTCTGATACCTGTCCCCATGTCAAAACATGTAACCACTATTTTTTGCTCATTCTTCTAGAGAAATTCTTTTTTTTTAATCTTTTTAAAATTAAATTTATTGGGGTGATGTTAGTAAAATTATGTAGGTTTCAAGTGTATATTTCTATAATATATCACCATGTATTTGATTCCCCTTTTCCTCTTCTACCACCCCTCTCCCCATGAAATATTTGTATCTTAATAGAATATTTTAATATAAATTTACTATTTGAATTACCTAAATGGCTTTCTTATAATAACTTTTTAAAAAGAAAAATAAACATTAAAATTATCTAGGAAATAAAAGGAATAAATATTCTAATCATCCATGCTCCCATAGTTAGGGTAATTAAACATTTGATTTACTACTAAGTCAACATAACTGAATAGAAAGTCAAAACTGATCTTGGTTTTAGAAAAAAATATATATATAAGACAGGTTGTATCATTTGTTTAGTGAGAATAAGGAGGCTTGCTTATTCAATAATTGTTATTGGGACATTTGAATGCTATTAAAAGATAAAAAGCAAGCACAGAAAATATTGGAAAGAAATGTATCAAATGCCATTATTATATGTAGAGCTCTTGTGAATTTATAAGGAAAATATTTAAATATTAATAGAAAAATTACTAAAGGACCTGAGGAAAGAAAATTCACATACCCAGAAATACAAATCAGAGAAATTCTTTATGCATGTATAAGCCAAGAGGTTTCTCAATTTATAAAAATAGTGGCATGCCATACACATTTACTCTACCTTGCTTTTTATTATATATCAAGAAGATACGTGTATAGCAATATACACAGAGCTCCTTACCTTTTTTTTCAATTTCCATAACATTTTATTGCAGGGCTATGCCATAATTTATTTAACTAATTCTCTATGGATGGATAGTTAGACCTCCAGTCTTTTGCAATTAAACATTGATCCATTTAGAACTGATTCAGTACATGGGATGTGGTACGAATCGAAATTTTTTTTTTCCAGGTGGCTACACAGTTTGCTATTTATTGGCCATTAGTTGAAGAGTTCATTTCCAGACTCTATTTTGTTCCCTCAGTGTATCCATCCTCCAGTTGCTGGGTTTATTTTAAATCTAGAGACATAAAATCTTGTAAGAGATAGTGTTTCATACTTTGTTTAGATCACTAGAAATTTTAGAGCTAATATTTCAGCCCCACTTAAGCAACAGTACAGTTCCATGTGGTATGCATTTTCTGTGGGCTAATTTTTATTTTCCCTTTGCCCTGATTCCACAATTTGTTTTATTTTTTGTAGAACAAGCCAGGATATAAATATACCTTTCTTTAAGACTCTCTGTTTGCAAGTAACAGAAACCAATCTTAACCAAAAGGGAAGAATTTATCATAAGTATGTAGGAGTTGCTCACAAAAGCTAAGAGTAGGAATACAGCTACATTGTAGCTAGAACCTAGAACCAGTAACTGAAAAGCTTCCAGGAACCCAAAAGGTACTCTCTGTGTCCCTCTGTGGTATTTTTCCTATGTATCTGCTTCATCTGTGTATCTCTCTCTACTAACTTGTTCTCTCTGCTTTTCTATTGACACAGAAGAATATACACCCCATATTGATCTAGGAAGTCAGGCCAGTGTTGGGGTGTGAGCCCAGAGAAGGAAGGTAGGACGGCCATCCTGTAAAGTCAGGTGGCTGATTATACACAGGGGGACTACACGAAGGAAAAACTGTATTGAGGATAATAGCAGCCAGCTTCCTCACTTTTAGAGAAGGGGTTACAAATACAGAAAGAAGAAAAGCAAGAAATCTTGTGTGATTGGATGGGAATTAGAGGTGTTGATGTGAATTCAAGGTTTTTCAATATATATAGCTATAAAATAAATACAAATGTAACAGTATCATGTAGATGAGCCTGTAACATCTTGTGCCAGAGAGTATGAAAATGCTCAAAGAATGATGAAGACATTTCAAAAAGACGAAGCAGTCATCTTGAAGGGGTTCCTGCTGGCCAAATCTGGGACAACTTTTGAGCATCAAAATAAATTATGATAATAGGAAAATATATCCCCCTGGATATATCCATGAATCCACACTGACTATTTTTAATGAATAAATAAATGGAAAGAAGAGACAGCTTTTCTTTGAGTAGAAAGCAACTAATAAATTTGGAAGAAATAATGGAATTAGAAAAATCACCATTTGGCAATCATTGGCCAAGAAATATCAATGTTTCTTAAATCTAATGGGTAAAAGTTGGTCAAGGCATGAGATGTTAACATAGGTTCAAAGCATCTCTCCATAAAATTCTTATTTAAAAAATGAGCCCTTTACCAAAGAGAAGCTAGCAGACACACCACCTTACTCAACTATTCAAAGTTAACTGTCATGCAAGGGGTCACAGACCGCCCTCGCTTTTCCCCTTAGGCCACATGGTGCAGCTATAATGTGGGATTTATTGGGGAAACTTACATGCAGAGAAGTGGCAGAGTGAACACTGTCCCTTTAACTTTCATTATTACACTGCATGGGCCAAGCACAGCTCTTGTATACACCAGGGCCAAGGTTCCAGCAAGACAAGGCCTGCCTCTGCCAGCAGCCAGGTAGGTGTACAACGGCAGAGCCAGAGCCCAAGACAGAAGTGGGCCCCGTCCCCACACTGCATTACATATTTATATGTTGGCCTAATTGGGGGTAGAGAAGTCCTAGTTTCTCTAAATACTAAGAACTACATCAAGGGAACTGCTATGATGGTAGATGCATATGGATGGATATTGGGCCACAAAAGAAGGGGAGCCTAATTTAGTCCATGGGGTCAAGGAAGTTCTTCCTAAGCAAGGAACCTATGTAAGCTGAGACCTAAAGTACTAGTGACCACATAAAGGGTGGGGGACTTTCAGGTAGAAGGCACAGGATGCCCAAAGCCCAGAGGTAAGGAGGTGTGGCTCATTCAAGAAACTCAAAGAAGCCCAATATTGACCCAATCACAGAGCAAGGTATGAGAAGATGGGAAAATGACATCAGAACAGAAAGAACTTGTGTATCATGTTAAGGATTTGCTGTTTCATCTCAGAGACGGAGAAGCCATACAAAGGTTGTTAAGCAAAAGGTAATGTGACCAGATACACATTTTTAAAAGTGAACTCCAGCCCGTGAGGAGAAGAGCAAAATGAAAGTGTTCATTTGCAATACAGTAAAAGAGAAGGTGGCTTTGACAAGGATTGTCAATGGGAGAGAGATGTAGGGAATTTAGATATATTAAGGGGGTAAAAACGTGACTGTTTTACTCGTCTTTTTTAGTTCCAGTTTCAAGGCCACCAAGACTATTTTCTAGAAAGTAGAAGGTGCAGTTAGTGTAGAACATTGTCAGACATCAGAGTTTTGTGATCTGACCGATGGATCTTATTAAACGTGATTAAGATTAGGCACCTTTACCACAGGGCAAAACTTCTTTTGTTGTTATTTTGCTCTGTTGGTAACAAAATATTAAAGCAGCTAACCGTGAATCTTAATCTTCTCAAATAGCATTTTCAGTTAGAATAAAATGAAGGAAAAAAAATATGCCAGGCACATTCAGTACCTTTTTCAGTGTCCCAGATTATATCATGCCTCTCTTGAGACTTGAGTAAAATTGATTCAATATTTCGTGGCATCTCCTTTTTGGGGGTGACTTTTAATTCAATCATGTCTTTTTCCCTCACATCAGTACTGAATCCCTGAGGCTTGTTTAATTTAGAACTAAAGAACCCTGACCTTCAAACAATTCGGTACTTTACGAGGGAAAGTTATCTAAAATTACTTTCTGCTTTTCCCAGTTACCTGAACAGCTCTCCTATGGAGTTTCAGTATCTTTTCACTCCTACAGGGGAAAATAAAACAACAGGAAGAGTACAGCCATGTAGTAAGCATATCAGTGTCACAGTATTTGACTGACTTTTCCCCCCAATTAGAATAAACCAAATTTCCCATAACTTAGCATCAGCTCTTTATCACTTGGAAAAAGAAACAGTGTAACCTTAATTTGTATTGAATTGTTACTCAGTAAACAATATTCAGGCTGCATTAGTACTTATGCTAAACAAATTTCTAAAGAAACTTGGAAGTAACAAAATCAAGTTTGCCCACATTTTTTTTAAATGCAGTTAAACAGAACTATAGACTTATAAATTGGTTTTCGATAGCTTTATCATCCATTCCTTCTCTCTTCGCTACATTCACCAACCCATTTTCCTAGACAAATGAAACTTCTTATTTTTTTTTTTAGGTCTCACCCAGTAGATATCCTTCTATCCAATTCTCTTCCCCATGTTACATGAGGCAAGTAAACCAGAATAAGGCAACTGCAGGGTAGCTCCCTGCTGTGGTCTGAATGTTCGTGTCCTCTTGCTACCCCCTCAATTTCTGTTGAAAATATATTGAAATCCCAAGGTGATGGTGTTAGGCGGTCGGGCTTTAGGGCAGCTGAAGTGCTCCTGAAGGGGATTAAT